GAAGAAGAAGAAGAAGAAGAAGAAGAAGAAGAAGAAGAAGAAGAAGAAGAAGAAGAAGAAGAAGAAGAAGAAGAAGAAGAAGAAGAAAAGGGAGGAGGAGGAGAGGGAGGTGGAGGAGGAGAGGGAGGAGAAGGAGGGGGAAGAAGAAGAAGAAAAATAAGAAGAAAGGGGGAAAGAGGAAGAAGGATTATGAGGAGGAGGAGGAAGAGAAGAGAAAAAAAGAAGGAGACTCATTCATATATAGATATCATTCTACAAACTGTCCAGCTATAATCATCACCAAAGGCAAAAACAAAAAAGAAATTATCATTAATTTAGCAGCCTTTTGGGCAAGGACTCTGTTCTATGACTATATGTTTTTCTATTAGATACAGTTCTATAGGTGGGCAGAATTGATGCCTTACATTTTTTAGAACTTTACATTTTCTTCACTTCCTACCCTGGCTCCCCTTGTTTTCACCTGGAAGTCATTAGATGTTGGCTGGAGCTGGAGTGATGCAGATTTCTCTTCTGGACTACCCTGAAATTGCTGAGTAACCCTCTACACCCTGTCTTTTCTCCTGATGCCTGGCATAGTGAGATGATCCCAATGGGGTCCCCAAGGATGTGGAGCTCAGTAGAGCCAAGGCTAGGGAGAAGTGTACATTTCTGAGTTTGGAGAAGCCCACCCAAGAGAACTACACTACTAGAAACTGTCATATTCAACTTCACATAAGGGAGAAATAAGCATTTTAGTGCATTGAGTTACTGAGATTTAGAATTATTTGTTATAGCAGCAAATACCTATTTGAATACACTGTTATAAGCATTTGGCACATGAACAAAATGGTACAGAAAGAACAAGTGGAAAAACAGTGCTTAAACTCAAATCTGTCCAGTTTTAGAGTCCATACCATTTTGAGGACTCTAGGCTACTATGTTTAATATCCTTTCACTGAATTTTCATCAGTATACAATGGAAAGCTACAGGACCATAGTGAATATTGTCTAGGGCATACTCCCCTCAGGGTCCATTGTTTGCCTGTGGGTTCAGCTGGCAGTAGTCTGGGGCTATGAAGATGTCAAGTGACCATACCCTTTTGCTGCTAACTCTGGCCATTACTTCTGGAGGACATCCTTATTCCTTTACAGAAACATTCCAGTAGGGAAGAATTTTGAGGACTGGTTTGGAGGAAACAGCTCTCTGAGGGACAGAGATGTGTTGAAAGTGGAGAATATTTGATTGCAACTACTTCAGTGTTTCAAGGAAGGGAACATAAAGATGGAACATAGGTCATCTCGGGGCAGGCTCTCAAAACTGACTACATGACCTGTACCGAGAAAGCGTTTGGAGGCCTGCATCAAACAATATTCTCTTGATTTAAGTGCTTGCTATGTGCCAGACACAGTAGTAGGGAGCACAGGATCTCTGATTTTGCTTGGTTTACCAGGGAAGAAAATCAGCAATTACAATGTAATGTGGTGAATGCTGTACAAGTTGCCTGTGAAACCTTCACTGAGGAATGACATTTTGGTGGGCCTTGGGGTTTGGGAAGTCCTCCCCGGATCACAGAGGCATCCCAGGAACCATGGGCTCTTTATGTTGCTGAGAGCAGTGTGTTCTAGGGAAGACAATGAGAGACAGCGTGGGAGAAGCGAGGATGATGGGGTGTGGCACTGTGTTAGGGCACTGGGGATGACAGTTGCTGAAGGCTTGTTTAGCAGGGATGATGCAGTCTAGCTGTATTTTATTTATTTATTTATTTATTTATTTATTTATTTATTTATGGTACCAGGGATTGAACTTTGGTCCTTGCACTTGTGCAGCAGGTGGCTAAACCACTGAGCTAAATCCCCGGCCCTCATTGTATTTTAGAGAGACCCCTGTGGCTGCTGTGTGGGTATGGAGTGGAGGTGTCAAGACTGGAGGCTTGCATAGATTGCTACAGTGATCCCAGCTGTGGAACACCGTGGAGTGAGGAAGAGGACAGAGGGAGAGAAGTGAGTAGCATTGCTTCACCCACACCTCTGCTAAGAAAGCACCCTTTGGGGCCTAGCCTGGGCAAGGGCCTGACTCAGGCTGCTCTTCTCAACTCTTTTAATCTCTTTCAGCTTTTGTGACATGGAAGGGGACAGGCTGGACCCTGCCTTTTAGATGGACATGCATGCACAAGTGAGGCCATGTCTCTGAAGCTCCCTAAGAAACCAAAGGAAAAGTATCTGTTGGACTGGATGCAGAGAGGTCAGGAAGCCTCTTGTCCTGGGAGGTGGCTCTGGCACAGGTAGGTGACTGTGGCACTGGGGAATTTCTCTGGCTTTGGGAGTATGGTTCTGACACTGGTTGGAGGACTCTGCCACTGGAGGCCTTGCACCACAGAGCCATGTCTCAGGGCTTCAGAGCCCCTTGCACATGGTGGAAACAGGGAGGGTGTGGGAAGGGGGAAGAAGACTTCTGAGCAGGTTGGCTGGCCCATGTGGAACATGGCTGTGAACACCGAATCCTCAGAGTTAAACAATCTTTATCCACTCCTGAGGTTGTCACAAGGTCAGCAGTATCCTTCCTGGGAAACATTCCTGACAGATTTATAAACAAGGGGCCAAGACTGGACCACAGACAACTACAGAAACACAATGCCTTGGCTTTGCTGGGGGCCTGAAATTCCTTATAACTAAGTCTCCAGATAGATTTTGGATTCTGCTCTCTGAGGGTAGACACTTTCAAGGCCCAGGGGAGAATTTCCATGACATTGTTTTTTCATTATCCCATCTAACCACCCTCCAACGATCTGTTATTTCTTGCATTTTTCCTTAGCAGAACACTTCCAGGATGTTGCTCCTATGAGATGCACTTTAGACCTTGCTGGTGACAGCAACATTTTGCTGACTCAGAGCAGCTGGAGATATGAATTTCTATCCTGTGTCTAGTCCAGGGGAATGACTGACAAAGCTTCTGGCAAAGCCAGATCCCAGGGCAGCCCTGGCTGAGCTGTCTTGTCTGGATCACTGGTAAGCAATCAACCCTGACAACTTCGGCTCCAACTCTGTCTAGCTTTATGGAACTAGGAACACACAACCAGCCATATCTCACTTATCCTTGTTTAATAGGGTGCTGGGGATTGTATGGAAAAATGAACTAAAAAGAGAAAGCCAAAATAGTGTACTTGAGATTCAATTTCTTACTCCAGTGACATTTTTAGGTTTTCAGTTGCCTTCAACTTTTTATTGAAAAAAATTACAAATTTACAAAAAGAAGTAGAATATAGTTATAAGCCATTATGTACCATCATGGTATACCATTATAATTGACCTTTATCTGTTCAGAACAAATTATATTTTATCCATGTTTTCTTATCCCCCTATTCTATTTTTAAGCAAATCTAGACCACACATTTTTTCTTAAAGATAGCAGTCTGGGCCCATGAAGACGGCAATGACAATACTCTTCTGATGCCATCATGGGGCATTATCTCTTTGGAGTATTGTTATTCCTTTACAGAAACATTCTGGTAAGGAGAAAGTTTGAGTACTGACTTGGAGGATAAGATTCTTTAAGGGACAGAGGTGACTTTTAAAAAAAGAGTGACTTTAAAAAAATTCAGCATTTCATGCCCATGTTTGTATTGGGTCTTTAAAATTGGGGGGCGGGGTCTGACTTTCTGAGTTGAAAAAGCTTTTTTAAAAACTAGGAATTATGAAATTTATTGCCATAGAACTATATCAAAATAAAAAAAGGGCTGAGGCTGTTGCTTAGTGCAAAAACCCTGTGTTCAATCCTCAGTACCTAAAAAGCAAAACTACAAAATAAATATTGATGGTATCTGATTATAATGTGCTATCAGAATATTTGTGTCTACCCCAACCCAAATTCTTGTATTAAAGCCCTATTGCCCAATGTGATAGTATTTGGAAGTGAGGCCTTTGGGAGATATTGGTTAGGTGAGGCAGTGGTGGGATTAATGTCCTTATAAGCAGGTGAGGAGACCAGAATCCTTCCTCTCTTTGCCATGTAAGGATTTATCAAGATAGTCATTTTGTAAGCCAGATGGAGGAGGCTCCCCAAAAACCTAACCACATTGGCACCCTGATTTCAAACTGTTAGCTTTAGAACTAGGAGAAACAAATGTCTATTTTTTTAGCCACCTACTCTCTGGTATTGTTATACAGTCTAAGATATAACCATTAGAGGGGAAGAGGATAAAAGATGTGTTATGCACATGTGCCAACTCCCCATGAGAAATATAATTATTATGTATTGCAAATATGTACCAATAAAAATAAAAATTTAGCCAGGCCTATGTGCATGCCTATAATCCCAGTACTCAAGAGGCCGAGTCAGGAGGGTCATGAGTTCAAGGCCAGCCTAAGCACATAGTGAGTTCAAAGCCAGCCTCAAGTGCATAGTGAGGCCCTGCCTCAAAAACATAAAGAAATAAGCACATAGATCCCCCCAAAATAAATTTTTTTTTACAAAAGATATAACCCATTAAATTAAGAATCAATGTGGCTATTTCTGCCTCGGGTACTAATAAGACATGAACATCCTTTATCTTTAACAAGTAGAACTAGAACAACATAAAATGGGTGATAAATAGTGAATTTTTTAAAAATTTTAAAACTTACTACAGTAAAAGATGTTGTCAAGAATGATAGGATAAGTGTGAAGTGGGGAAGGATTTTGAGGGTGTTTAATGGCAATGTGTCTTTATTGCAATAAAATTTTTTAAATTAAAAAGAAAAAAATTCAGCATTTCAAAGGCTGGGGATTTAGCTCAGGTTCACTGCACCTGCCTTGCAAGCTCAAGGTCCTGAGTTCAATCTCTGATACCAGAAAAAAAAATTCAGTATGTGGTCCTGATCAAAGATTTTTATTAGAATTGCTAGGTAGGGAGGAAATTAAGATATTTTCTTTTCCAGGCCAGGGATTTAGCTCAGAGCCACCATGCCTGCCTCACAAGCACAAGGTCCTGAGTTCGATCTCCTGTACTCAAAAAAAAAAAAGATAGTTTCTTTTCCTATGTCTATTAAAGTTTGAAAAGAAGGATGAAGAGGAGATACAGACATTGGCAGTTCTTATTGAATAATTGTACAAGAATACTCTCTAAATTGAGACTGGGATCTGAAATTCCCATCCATTCCTTTCTGGCTATGTTATGAGGAATTTGTATTTGGATGGGGGGAACAATGAGAAGGAAGTTTTGTGTATCGGTTCCTAGGGTGAAGATGGAGAAGTGTAGGTAGATGATCCTCCACTGGCCCCATATTATTATTATTATTATCATTTTGTAATATTAGGGATTGAACCTAGGGCTTTTGTACTGAGCTACATCCCCAGTCATCTTTATTTTTATTTTTATTTTGAGGTAGAGTCTTGTTAAGTTGCTCAGGCTGGCTCAGACTTTCAATCCCCTTTCCTTAGCCTCCTATTCCACTAGAATAATATATGTATGCCACCATGCCAGCCCCATAAATGATTTTTGAACCTCATGTAAAAGAGTTGTAGGTAGAAGCTCAAGCAGCTGTTTAGTGAGGGATGCATGAGACCTTGAGGGTGAGGGAGGCAATATGCCCACCAACGTGGCCCCCAGAGGTTTGGGGAATCTTAGGAGACAGGAAACTGTGATCTTTGACACCAGTGGTAGTGGCCATGGAAAGGGGCAACAAAGGGGTTGAGGATCAAGAGAACAAAAATATTGCTTACACTTTGCTGATAGGAGCTGATACACTGATTTAAAAACATCTATAAGATATCTCTGAGTTACATTAAGTCTTTCTGAGATACACTTTCCTTAGCAAAGATGAGGTAGTTAGGCTGCTTTCCAGCCCTGAGAACTATCTGTACTGAACTTGGAACAAGAGTGGAGATAAAATCAGGTAGAAGTTAAGGTCAGAACAAAGGTGTGGTGGTTGTAGCCAGGAATGATGAGCAGGCAGCTTGCCTGGGTTTGCATCCTCCCTTTGCTATTTTGAACTCCTTGAATTTGGAAAACTAATAAATGTTTTCTCATTTCTAAAACAGAATGCCCACTCTATAAAGTGTTTGTGGGGGAATAAATATTTAATTCATATAAAATGCTTAAAACAATGCCTCTCCCATGTTAGGTGCACAACATGCTAGATACTACTATTCTTGTTATCACTGGTAGTCTGAAGTGATGACAAAGAGTAGGAGAAATGTGGTCCACTATGTAAAGTCCAGCATCCTAGGCAACTGTACCAGGCAGTGCTTGATTATCTGTTTTCTATATGTACTTGTGCCCTTTCCAGCCTTTCCTCTTCCCAGGACTCTCTTCTTCTATCTGCCTATTGAGGCTCTAAACCTTTCCCAAGGGCATCCTGGGAAGTAATATTTGCTACTGAGTGTCTCAGGATGCACCAACAGCACGTCACCCTCTCCTGAATGCTCAAAGCTCTTGTGCTAGGGATTGACATGATCCCATCACTCAGTGACATGACTTTGAGGACCCGTGTAACCCATGGGGCAGGATTATAACTCTGAAGTCATGAATTCTGCCTTATTTAATTCAACTACCCTGAGTAAGATGGGCTTGTTGTTGGGGAGTGAATGTAAGAAAGACACAGCACACCTGAAGGTCCAGTTAGAGAAATTGATAAGTAAACAGATAATATGCAAGGTAATTAGATCATAATCAGATATTACCAAAGTTCTCTGGGAACCCCTAGGGAGTGAACTTTTAATTCATTTTCACACTTTTCTCCACAATGCACACTATCTTATACCAACAGGTGCTCAAGAAACCAAAACAAAACACAAAACATAGCTGAATAGAAGAATTAGCCCAATGCATACTTAATCCGACTCTATCCTGACTTCTGTGCATTGTGACTTTGTCCAACACTTCATTCAAGATTTATATCCCTTAATATCAAGAAATCAACCAACAACAAATGCTAGCAGGAATGTAGGGAAAAAGAAACCCTTCTCCACTGTTGATGGGAGTGCAAACTGGTGTAACCACTGTGGAAATCAGTATGGAGAATCCTCAAAAAACCAGGATTAGAGGTCCCAGTTGACCCAGTTATTCTTCTGGGTATCTTCCCCAAAGAATTAAAAGCATCATACCACAGCAATATATGCTTACTCATGTTTATAGGCAACACTGTTTGTAATAGCTAAATCTTGGAAACAACCCAAATGCCCATCAACTGATGAATGGATAAAGAAGATGTGTTTTTTCTATACAATGGAGTAATATTCAGCCATAAAGAAGGATAAATGCAAGACATTAATAGCTAAATGGATGCACCTTAAAGCTAGACTTTAAAGTGAAATAATGGAACATGCATATGTAAATATTGCATTGTCTCTCTGGTGTAAGAAACTGAAAATGTAAATAGGGACTAAAATGTATAATGGACAATGTGAAATAAGAAAACAGTTATTCAATAGGAAGGGGGAACTAAAGGTGAGGAGGGGAAGGAAGGAAGGATAAAAATGAGAAAAGAAGGAAAAATGGAAATAAGGCTTTTGTAAATAAGGAAGGGGAAGAGGGGTTGAAGGGAGGGAAAGGGAATGGGAAGAAAAGGAGTCAAGATACATCATGTAAAGATACGAATTTCCTATGATGAATGTGATCATTATGTAAATCTAAATTGTACCAATAAAATTAAAAATGACCAAAAGAAAAGATTTATAGCCCTGTGAAGAGTCTACTTGGCATTCTTTCCCCAGGTCTGGGTCAACAACAATCCTACTGTTACTGAGTTTTGTGGTGCTAAGGACTCCTTTTAGAGATTCTTTCTAGATTATTTTTGTTCTGAACAAAGAATTGGACAAAACAAGTGCAAATTAAAGACAGGAAAAGAAATATGTTCTGAAGAATGAATATAGGCCAATTAAAAGTAGGAAAAGAAGTATGCTCTACAAAGTGCAAGTGAGCCACTGTGAAAGAGAGAGCACAATAGCTTTGAGCTCAATAGCTACAATCTTTATCTCACACTCCTCAGGCTGATGTCATATCTAGATCATCATATCAAAAAGCTGCTTGAGTTCTCATGAGAAGAACTGAAGATAGCACTTTCTGATTGGTTCCAGGTGCAGGGCTTGAGTGCATGTTTCCTGGATCTTTGTGATTGACAGGTCACACTCACTTGCCCAGCTGGCTGTCCACACCCTAATCTCCTGCCTCACTGTAAAGCACTGGTGGTAAACCTATAGCATTCATGCTGCAGGCTGTTTGTATCGTTGAAAGCTCTAAAAGGTTCACCATCATTGTTGTAGAGGGAGTGGATGTGAATTCTGGCTGTAGGACATAGTCTATATTTTTTCCACTCTTGCCCCCTGCATTTCTGGGAATGTCTTAACTAAGAGGAAAGGAAAATCGTAGTTACCTGGTTAGATTGGTGCTTTATGGTAAGATGTCTTGTCTTGGAGCATAGAATATATTTTTGCAGCATTACCTAAGACCAATGTGAGGAATTCCTGATCAGTTAAGAGTTGCTCACTGTGATGTGCATAGCAAGGATGGGAAGGCAGGGGAACAGTGAAAATAAGACAGCCATGTCCTGATCTCCACCTTTTCTAAGAAAGCAGTCCTATCTGACCAAGACTGAAAGCAAATCTCAATAAGGTGTTTTTGTTTGTTTGTTTTTTTGGTACAGGGAGTGGAACTCAGGACCTTGTGCTTGCCAGGCAGGTGCGGTGCCACAGAGCTAAATCCCTGGCCCTCAACAAGGTGTTTTTAAAGCCTTAGTCACTGCTAAACATTTTCTTTCATGGACATTGCATTAGTCCATTTCTATAGCTATAACAAAAATACCAGAGACTGGGTACTTTATAAAGAAAAGAGGATTATATAGCTCATGATTTTGGAGGCTGAAAGTCCCAAGATCAGGCTGCCATGTCCGTCTAGCCCCTAGTAAAGGCCCTTTCTCCTACATCACAATGTGGCAGAGAAGCAAAAAGGGAAATTGCCACCTCTGGAGGAGGTCAACTGCATGGGGTGGTTTCAACTTATAAAAACCCATACTCAAGAGAACTAACTAGGTCCTTTGAGAACTACATTAATCCCTTCTGAACACAGCACCTCCAGTAATCTAATTCCTTTCTACTAGGCCCCACATCTTAGGTTCTACCACCTCTCAACATTACCACATAGAGAACCAAGTTTCCAGCACATGAAGCCCAGGAAACACACTTGAACCATATCCAAACCACAACAGCCATGTTATCCATGATCTTGTGTGATCTTGATCCCAGCCCTTGAAACTCTCCATCCTCTGAAATTACCTGAACTTATCTGAACTTAGTGATTATGCCACTTATCTGTCATGTGACATATTGCCTTGAGGTTGTTATTTTATAAGTAATAGAAATAACTCATGTTTAGAGAGAACTTGCTATGTACTAGGCCCTTTACAAATATTTAATTTTGACAACAAAGCTCAGAGGCAAGAATTGTTATTGTCTCTATTTTATAGATGAATAAACCAGCACTTTAAGAGATAGTATGTAGCTTGTCCAGTTATGCAGCTAGAAGCAAGCAGTGGAGCTGGACCTTGGGCCCTTATCACTCATGAGCTAGCAACCTTGGCTTTCTCATCTCTAGGAACTACAATGTAAGCTCTTGGAGAGCCAATGTTATGATTCAGTTTTTTGCTATGTTCAACACACAGCCACTGATTGATTGCCTGCTTGATTCTCAAGATTATTTTAAACAAAACAGAATATGTTTCTTTTAAGGAGCCCAAATCCCTTAGAAGATCATTTCCAACTTGATTCTAAAGAATCTCTGAGCAATAGCAATCTATTACTTCCCAATCTTGTGGTCATCTCCCCTCTCCCAGCCCCCACACTGACCTTTTCTTCACACACACACACACACACACACACACACACACACACACACACAGAGTACTAAGATAAAGGCAAGAGTAAGAGAGACAGGGGCTCAAATCTAATTAAGACAAGACTTTGAAGTGATTAAATCAAAGTTTCACAAGAATGCCAAATTCAATTTTAGTTGGGGGTGGGGGGAGACTGAACCCTTGAAGCCCTGCCTATTTTGGTTATGGGTCATAGTTTAAATATTCTTTGCACTTTTCTCCAAAGACTGCAATTAAATTAGAATGTGGTTTACAGAACATGTTATTTATTATGTACTTGTGTCTCCTGATTATGCTTGTCTGCCTGCAGCTTTTTTGAGCCACCAGGGAAGGTGTGCTTTATATAGCAAGAGAGGGTATGTGTGAAATGTTCTTTGAATAATGACTGCAAGGTGCTCAGAGAAGCCTTGACTTTATTTAGACATTTAATTTCTTCACAGTTTCCTCTCTGAGAGGACTCTTGGCTTCATTTCCAGACAGCATGCATGTGGTAAGAAAAAGGGCAGAATGTGGGGATCTGGAGGAGGGAGGGAGGATTGGTTGTAGGTTCAGGGAATAATAGATTTTTATTATGAGGAAGATTGCATCATTCATACTTGAAATTCCCATGTGGTACAGTTTGATTAAATGTTTATATAGTCCAGGTTATCCTCTGCTACCCAGATAGTTAATGCTCCCAGGCATTGTACTTCTCAAAGAAGAGTAAAAATTATCCAAGCCATTTGATCAAAGATAAAAGTTCAGAGATTGCACTGATGGCATTCTTGCATGGAGAATTAATACCCTAAAATATTTGCTAAGATATTATCCTCAATTTGTAAAACAATACACTAAGCACCGCCTGTGGAGAGAGATACCTACAAAAAATGTATGCACTTAAAAATATGTATCTACATAAAACTGAATTATAGCTGAGAGAATAAATCTCCCCCACAATGAACACCTGGGACTGAATCACAGATTGTATAATCTGTGATTTATCTGGTCCCAAATACACAGAAACAAGCAATAATCTTGAGTCGGAGCCTTTACTACATCCCTCCCATTCTGAGATGGGGATTTCAGATGCCTTCATCATTTGAAAATCACAAAATAGACAGCTGGTGAGTCTACCATGCTGACAATACTACAGCTATTCCCAGAGAGTGTGCTCTCTGTTTTAAACTCAACTCAGTAAATATTTGAGAGCATTTTTTATATTCTAGTTGCAATCAAGGGCAATCAATGGCAATCAAGGATTCAAAGATGAGCAGGACTCAACTGCCCCAGCTTGAGGCCCTTAGAAGTAGCTCACTTGCTGTAAGAGCTCCAGAGAGAATGTAATCTCTGATGAGGGTGTAGAGGACTCTTCGTAGAAAATGGTCTTCCCAGTGAACATGCAGGACAGTGTGGGCTCTTCCTGTGTCCTGTGGAAAACTCAGGGTGTGAAGGCAGTCTCTGGCTTGGATTTTAGTGGGGTAGTAGCCTTGCCCCTTGTTTCTAGCCAGCACTCACTTCCAAGTAGATGGCAGAAGGCAGGGTCTTCTTTCCCACAATGGAGGATGCTTGGGGCCCCAGTCATAAGTAGGGGCAAGAGTAGAAACCCAACATTCAGGATGATAGCTTGGGAGCAACCAGTGTCCAGCTCTGTCCAGCTTCTAAGCTGCCTCAGCCCAGTTTCCTCTGAAGTCAGAACAAAGAGGAGGGATGCAAGGGACAGTGGTTCTGTTGGTTCCAGGGTATCATCTTCACCCCAGGAAGCTGGTGCTGGCTTCTCTAGGAGGTGCATTTGCACGTTGATAGGCTCTCTGGTGCCCCTATTCCCCACCCCAAGGTCCTCAACACTGCAGCATTTCCTGATGGGCTGATGTCTGCTTCTTCCATTCCTTGTGCTTCAGGTCAAATCCTGTGCATCCCAGTGGCAGATGCTTGAGATACCTCCTTTCCAGATGAACCTGGTCCCTTCTGAAAGCATCTACTGAGTACATTGGACACATATGACACCCTGACAAACCAAAAGACAGAAGAGTCATTGGGCCGATACTGGCTGAGTGTCCTGATTCTGCTGGGAGACTCGAAGCAGGCAGTGCTCAGTCTTCTTTTGCAAGGGACCCAACTTTCAGAATCATGACATGTCCAGTAACCTCCAACACAGCAGCAAGGACAAACCAGACTCCCTCCAGCTATCAAGGGCATCTTGGGATACTGTTCCTTAGCTTGTAGTCAGAGTATGGGGATAGGAAAGGAACTTTCTTTGGGGTGTCCACTCCCAGACTCTCTCCCAAGAAAAAAGGTATTCCAAAACATCTCATGAAGCACCTGAAGGACTGCACGAGTACTGAGTTAGGTGACTAAAAATCTCAGGGATGTAGAGGCCCCTAAAAACTGGGATTCCCTTCTGAGATGTTAGGTTGACTTTGTTCCTGAATTGTAACAAGATGATTTTTACCTTCACAAGAAATTGCCTTTGTTTTATTGTTTGGTGGCTGTTCCACAACTCTCAGATCTGTGTTTCCACAGCTTCCCTTGATCCAAAAACAGGACACGCCAAGGAGATGAAAAGCTTGGCTGAGCTGAGTTCTAAGGGAAGTCCTGGTCATTACAGAGAAAATGTTCCTCCAGAAAGACACTGAGTTCCTCATAATGTGAGAACCTTCTTTGATGTGTTTTTTTTATTGGGTATAATGTTAAGGCATTGGAGCCAGGAATACCTGGGTTTCCACTGTGGGATTCCATACCCAGGCAGCCCAGCAGAAGCCCATAGACATCTACCTCAGGGCGGAGGCTGGGATCCCCTGAGGAAGGACTTCCTAATTATTAGTCACCTTGCAATACGGGGTAGAGGGCTTCCCATCACTAAAAATGTTCCAGCAGAGACTGCACAACCACAAAGGACTCCACAGTATTAGAATCTGTAACCTCTAAGACCTATTTCTTTGCAGCCCTATTAAATTGAAAACTTCTGAAAGTGGTGGTTTTTATATCCTTCTCCCCTAGAACCATGTGGGAGGAAGGAAGGAAGGAATATATCTTCCCCACAGCCAAGAGGCATCAGACCCCTGATGATTTGGAAGCTCTGATTACTATCTAGCCCTGGATTACCTAGCCTTAACATCATCATTTTTCTACCATTTTATTCCTTCCTTGCAAGACCAGCTGAGTTTTGACCCTTTATCTCAGCAAGTTAGCAGGAACTGAAGATGTCAGTGTTGTACCTGTTCAGGGAACCAGAGTTAGAATCCATGCAACTCTACATCTACCCCCATCTCCTACTGAGACAGATTCATGTCTGTGTCCGAACACCAGAGCCATGGGGAGGAGGTGCTCACCCAGGTGGGATTTGAAGGTGTCCAGGACTTTCTTTCCATATAGACACCACCATGGTTATCATTCAAATCTTGCTTTATCTCAAGGGCTTGCTTTTGGAAGGGGGACTAAGGACCAGTCTTCATCTCCCAAGCAATGTGATTCTGTGGCATTGGAATTGCTTTTAAAAAAATTAAAAACTAAAAGAATGCAAAAAATATATTTGAAACTTTCTCCCTTGGAATAAGGTGATTTCCTTACAAATGTAACTCCCTTGGGAGTTGATTCCTTAACTCTATAGCACCCTCTGAATTTTTAAGCAAGCCTAATCTATTAAATTAACTAAAACAGATACAGAAAGAAGGGATGCATAACTCATCCACAAGTGTGCTGGTTTTCCGTATGATGGGTGATAGGTTGGAGGGAGGGGAATGTTTAGATCCAGAGTCCAAAGAAATCCCTGGGCTGCAGGTCACCGTAAGAATCAGTCACTCTTGCATGATCAACCTGTGTTTCTTGGAGACCTTGGGATGGGTGGAAATCTATCTCCTCTTTCAACGCAGCACCTCTGCTCTGTTCTGCTTTGTAGACTGGGCTGGCTCCTAAGATTCTCTCTGGAGGGCTCTTAGCTGAGGACAGCAGGACGTTGCTGATGCTGTCTATGTGTCCTATATTGCTGATGAGGGGTCTAGGGCTCAAGACAGGAGAGGAGTTCACAGTCATGGGATTGTTTGCACAGGAATGGACCAGGGCTCATTGCCCTTGTGCAGCCAGGCTTGGTGGATATTGAGGTAGCTACTGCTCTAGTGCTACAAGAGGAGAATGAGATGAAGAGCACTTTCTGAGAAAGGCCATGGGGTCTCAAGTTTAAAAGGACAAGACAGAGGAGGGGAGAAGGCAGTTGGAAGTTCCAGGTGCTAAGTGTTTTCAGTCAAGGGATCTTTGAGTTTGTCAAGAGAGGAAGAGTATAAGCTTGACAATTCTGCACACTGTTCAGAGACTGCTTACACCCTGACTTCTCTAGGATAGGTGTGCTAACCATGGAACCTGCAGTCTGTCTATGGTAGACTTCAGAGAGCCCTCAAACTTCCTGAACTTGTATCAAAACATGATGTACCTGGGCATTGCTCTGCATCCAGAGTCTAAGAAGAGGGGGATTTTATAGTCATTACATTTTCAAAGGGGTTAAGGGACACTGTAAATCATTGCCTCTTGGAAACTTTGTGCCCAGATTGCCTGGCTCTTTCTTCAAATAACTTCTTTGGCTTGCCCCATACTTCCTCCAGGGTAGGAATAAAAGCTGCACTTAAGTCTCCAAATTTGGAATTGCTATTTTGCTGCTAGATTGCTCATTTGTGTGTGTGGGAGGACTCAGGGAGGGAGGAGGGAGGAATGAGAAAGACTGCATTCCATAAATGTGTTATGTGTGTGTGTGTGTGTGTGTGTGTGAGTGTGTGTGTGTGTGTGTGTGTGTGTACGTGTGGTGTGGTGACAGTCAGACCAGGAGGTGCTGCGTTTTCTTCCCTCTTCCTTTTTTCCGTTTGGATGAGAAGCACCTCTGCTTTGAAGGCCTGCCTTTGCCATTGCTTCAAAAGCTTTTCTTGTTGCTTTCTGATCCTCATGGCCTTCCAGGGCTTGGCTTTGGTCCTGTGTGAGCCAGCAACTTGAGCCAATGGCAGCAGCAGAAACCAAGATAGCTCTGAAAAAATATTTGCTTAATTAGCAAAAATGATCTGTGATCAGAATCCATGTTTAACTGCCTGGCCTGGTGCCAAGCCTGATGAATTTTCCTTCAAAACTGATTTTGATTTTGAACTGAGAAGATCCAACCTGCATACTGGGGAAGGCAAATGCCCAGGTCTGCTTAGACTAGGGGTTTTTTCCTGTCAAACATACATTGGGGAAATCAGAGTGGGGGTGGGGGAGCTGGTCTGTGTCAGCCAGCAAGCAGTGGCAAGGGGACCTGGCTGTCACTGTGGCTAGTTCTTTAGTGAGGGTGAAGGCATGGTGCTTGCTCTGTGGTGTGTAGGTGAGCTTCGAAGGAAGGTGGTCTCAGAGAACTGGTTTGTGGGGAGCTGAGCCCCATAAATGACAGGGCTGAATAATTTATGGCTCTGAATATGTTACAGGAGAGGTGCCTTGGAGAGTAGCCTTGGGGTCATGGAGAGAGAGTCTGCTGGTACAGGGGCGACAGCGATATGGAGCAAGGAAGTGACTGGTCTTATGGAACCACCTCAATTTGCCTTTAAGTCAAAGTGGCCTGTGGAAATCCCAAGGATGAGTCAAGAATCTGCTGAGGAGGTGACAAGCCCAGACAAACCTAAAGTTTTTTTCGGCCCCCGAAGTTAGGGTCACTCAGGTTACTCTCTGACCCTTCAGACTTGTCTAGTACCTCTAGAATTCTTTTTAGGACTCTCGAGCTGTCCTTAGGTTAATTCAGGCCATTTTGAATTGTCACCTTGGAAGTAGATTTGCCAGTTCCCAAAGGACTTCTCTTACAGAAAGACAGGTTTCTTCCAGGGGAAGCCAGGGGCTGTCCAGCTATCTTTGGGGGTGTCCTGAGAGCCTTCTGATTGCCCCTCCACATCTGTCAACTACCCTATTTTCCTAATGAGACTGGCCTGCATAGGCAGTGACCCTGAACTCCAGCTTCTGGTTGGCTTAGCCAATGGGGAGCCCACGAAGCTCAAAAAGAAAGGCTGAGGTGCCAGCATATATTTCACCCTGCACGCCTTCCCTCCTTGGCCTCCTTTCCATTTCTTTTTCCCTCTTCCAGGTCTGTTGGCCACTCTCTCCCCTCACCTCTCCAGGTCTCTGCATTTAGTACGAGCCAGGCTGCAGGACCCTGCTGGTTTCCCTGAACTCTCTTCCCCTTCATAACTTGCCCTTTTGTTTTGCCTTCCTGGAATTATCCTGATTAGAGTTGGTATGGTCTCTTGCTAGGTTCCCGATCCAAACAGGAAATTGTCTTTTCTGGGCCTTTCTAGACTTTGTTAACCTCATTTTCTGAGGATAAAGCTCCCCAAAGGCATATATTACAGAGCAAACATATGATGGAAAAGTTTGTTTTTAAAACCTCCAAACAAAAAATAAGTACTGGAGTGCAAAGGTGCCTATAGTATTAAGGCCCTTACTTGGCTGGTTGGTCAGGGCTCTGAGCTATGCAGTAACTCGGCTAAATGATCTTGCAGCAAGGGCTGATCTCAAGGGTGGGGTGGCTTCTACCAATTCCACAGAGGTGTGGATCAGAATGGGAGTTCCCATTTGTCTCCTAGGATCCTTCATTACCTACTGGCAGCTTAATAGAAATTCTGTCTCTAGCCCTCTTGGGGACCTGACTTTATTATATTTAAAGCCTACTACTATCCTATGGATACCTCCACTCTCTCCAGCTCTAACTAGTGGGGGCCAGGCTGACGAACTCTGCAGGTGATCAGGAAAAGCTCTGGTGCAGACACAGGATGAAGGAGACAGGGTAGGACAGTGTTCTTTCACCATGAAAATAAATTGTGTGTTTGTGAGGAGTCTGTAGAAAGACTTAAAATCAGAGAGGCAGAGGGCCAGAGTGGGTGTCCAGTGAACTACAATTTCTGTGAGGATCTCTATAGTCATTGTTTTGGACAGAGGTCTCAGTGGGCAGACAGAGGGCTGTTAGGGAGAAACTTATCCTTACACAGTCTTAGGAATGAGGGTTTGTGTGCTGAGAAGTTCAGGGAAGAGGGGTAAACCACAGGAACCAGCCAGTTCAGAGGCCTCAAAGGGGCTGCTTTTGTGAGTCACTATGGAGAGATCTTGTAGGTCCCTTGTATAGAGATACTTGCCCATCCTGAGATTAGAAACCCAGATCCTGGGGTTTTGCTCTCTCTGTTCCTGTGAGCACCACCCAGCCACACTACTTCCCCTGGCACCTATGGTCGAATCCACTTTGCAGACTCTCCAACATTTTTACAAGCAACTTCCTTGTTCCCCACTTCAGATACCAATAGCCAGCGCCACTTCTCCCAAGCTGGGTTCCTACACCACTTCCTCTAAGTTTCCAACTTTTGATAATCTTACCTTCTTCCTTTTGTTACCTTAGCCTTCGAGGTGATGCTTTTTTTGTTTTAACCTTCTCAGTCACAAGTTAGCACTTTTTGACGGGGGGGGGGGGACGGGACGGGACGGGGGACTAGGGAATCAGACCCAGTGGCGTTCTACCACTGAGCTTTATCCTCAGCCCTTTCTATGTTTTATTTTGAGTCAGGGTCTCACTGAGTTGTCCAAGACTGGCCTCAAACTTGTGATCTTCTAGCCTCAGCCCCTAGAATATCTTGAATTAAGGCAAATGTCACTAGGCCCAGCACAAGTTAACAATTTGGTACCTACGCAAATATTTGCATGAAGTCTTCTTGATTGAATTGGTGTAGCTTTGTCTCTTGTTTGAACTCTGACTCCTATCCCTGCAGCTTCCTCCTCCTTCCAAGAGGAGGTTTGGAGAGGGAAGAGAGAGAGCTGGGTTGGCATGTGGAGGCAGGAAGAAGCAAGCATGTGAGTAGGAGGTAGGGAGGTGGCCGAGAGGTGAGGGGACTCTGAGGGCACTGAGTCACTTAGCTGACTTAGAAATTTTATCTGGGGCCAAGTGTACATCAGAGAACCTGGGTGGTGTTGGGGGAAAGAGGAATTGGGCAGACAGCTCTCCTAGAGCTGCAGGGTCCTGGGCAACCACTGATGTGTGTATTCTCACCTTTCTGGATCCTTTCTGCCTGACTAATGTCACTGCAGAGAACCATCTCACCAGAGTACAAAGCCCTGGGTGGTTACTCATACAGGCTCAGGTCTCAGTCTCTGGGCCCCTTTAGGGCAGCCTGTGTCCCTTTGGTAGTAAAGCAGGGCTACTTGTCTGATTATCTCTTCTGCCTAGAAGAAGCACCAAAATAAGTTACCCCAGGCCAGGCAGATTTGCTCAGCACCAGCACCTTTCTACCTTGGAGGGCGAGTCTGGTTCTGGGGATTTCTCAGTCTCCTCTGAAAGTAAACTTCTCGGTTGCCTGTTCCTCCCTGTTTTTCAGGCAAGCCCAAACCAGTTCCACATGGCTGCAGCTGCTTAGGTTCAAGCTGGGCCCCTCAGGAGGTCTAGAAGCTGCTGGAAAAGCAGCAAGAGCTTCCTAGAAACAAGGCTAGCATGATAGGCTTAACTTATCCCTCCAAATTTATATGTTAAAGTCCTAACCCCCAACTCAGAATACAACTGTTTGTATTTGGAGACAGGGTCTTTATGAGGGTAATTAAATTAAAATGAGATCAGGAGGAGAGGCCCCAATCCAATTCCACTGGTGTCTCTTTAAGAACAGAGGACACTGAGAGAGAGAGAGA